TCAAATTTATTCTCTATTAATCAAATTCATTATCCTTTTTACTCGTTCAGTTGCTTAATTCGCAACAGTATAACACTTTTGTAAAAAAAAAAAAATGGTAATATAATAATCTGAATCAATGTCTATAGAAGCCGAAAATAGCAATTTTCACACTAATACTTAGTCCTGGAAAGAATAACAAGAGTAGAACTTTGCAATGAAAGATATAGAACATTTAACTTGACATTCTATAGGGATGTACAAAATATCCAATTGATCCAAACCAAATTAAAAACTAAATTAAACCGAATTAAAAAACTGGTTAAAAAATATATCAACTTTTTAATTTTAAATATGGTTTAGTTATTCATTTATGAAATGGTTTGGCTATACTGGATAACCAAATCATATCATTTTTTTTAAATCGCTGATACAGTCTCCATACAAATCGAACAAACTGTTGAGAGTACGCTCAAATGCTAAATTCTATTGTAGAAATCCTGTACCCTGCCATTAGTATGCGTGCTTGTCAGTATATGCATATATAGCAATGTAAGTTAAAAAAAATTATAATTAAGAAACAAAAAATTACAAATTAAAAAAAACACATAACTTCACAAAGTATCACATATTCATCTACTAGATGATGCCCCTGGCTGTCACACAGATTATGATACTCATGCTCAAATGATAAAGATCCAGTTTTGAATGAGAGTAAGATTACAAATTTAGATAGTTAACATTGAACTATGTGGAGCATGAAAATCAATAATTTGATCCTGGAGAATCCCATGTGTCAGGTATGATTTGGTGAAGTGAACAACAATCTTCACGGTTGGATCCATTAGAACATTGTGTTGAAGCAAAAAGTCCATGTTTCAATTTTAATTACATTATGAATTAAAATTGTTATAAAACCAGTTTCAATTTCTTGAACTCGTTTAATTACGTTATGAATTCATTGATCTGCATCCTATTCATTCAAAAAAAAAAATTTGTTATAAAACCGGTTTTAATCTTGATAACCGGTTTGTGGTTCATAACCGGTTTTGAATTAAAATCGGTTTTAAATCAAAATCGGTTATGAACCACAAACCGGTTTGGACAAATTAAAAATCGGTTTTTTTAAAAAAAAATTGGTTCGGTTTAAAATCCAAAACCGTTTAAAACTGGTTTGGTTTGGTTTTTGACAATAACCAAATCGAACCGCTCCATGCACACCCCTAACATTCTGTCTCTCTAGCAGTTCTTTTTTGTCCACACACTCTATATCTCGATAAGAAGAACATCAGATTTTTCATACATTTTGTAAATTATTTCAAGCCGAAATTATGCATTTGAAGCACATTACGAAGCAACATAAAAAATAGGGTTTTATATTTCTCATTCAACATGAGAATTGAATTCTCATGTTGTAGAGATAAAAAGTATGTGGAACCCGTATGTAAGAAAAAATTATGTGTAGGACCCACGTTGGCACGAAAATCGAAGGATGTGTAGGAAAATTCAAATTCTCATGTTAAATGAAAATTATAAAACCCTAAAAAATAACGTGTAAACCAAAATTCTTGAATGGTACACAACTGAGTGCGTGGCCAAGCTATGAATATTAAAAAAAAAAAAGAAAAAAAAAAAAAAAAAAAAAAAAGCTGCTTTTCAAAAAAAAAAAAGCCCACAATCATCGCTCCTCGGCCTGTCCAAATGGAATGGACCCAGTCTGGTCCAATATGGTCTGAACTGGACCTTACCCATCCGTTCAAAAAATTAATTGTTAAATGGGTTAATTTAAATAGCAAGTGAGACCACGTTATTTTAAGGCTTAAAACTAGACTTGACAATAACAGAAAAACTCAATTTTAAAAAATCTGACCTGTTGTGACAATACTAGTTTTTTATATGTGCCTGTAATTTTGGCGAAAAGAAAATTGTGGTTTTTGGTTTATTATTTTCTTATAATGAAAATTATATCTATATAATATATGATCAGAATTTTTAGGAACCTATAATTTCGTACGTATTCCAATAATGATATTATTGTAAATCTTATATAATAATTAAAAGATAAAATTTCACGTGATTCACTCAAAATTCAGCTATATCAACAAGCTATTTTTTATGAAATGAATTGGGTGGTTTGGGTGTCTCTCAACATAAGTAACGATTGGAAGAGACCCATTAGCCTAATTTGGAAAACGATATTCCTATTAACCTGTTGGGAGCTATAGAATGAGAGGAATGCTGTTTATCATGGAAAGGATGGTTGTAGTGAAAATCTTATCGTGGGGAAGGTGCATCGTATGGCTATGGACATAGAACAAGCATTCGGTGATAATGGCAATAGAAAAAAAGGTTAGCATGTTAGTTCAGTTGCAAATAGCATGATAGCCACTTGATCAAGGCTGGATTAAACTAAATACAGGTGGTGCAGCCAAAGGATCTCCAGGAGTAGCGGCTTGTGGGGGATTATGTAGAGGTTCAGATGGTCAATGGCTGGTGGGGTTTTGCTTATCATGTGGGCATTGCATCAGCTTTTACGACGGAATTATGTGGTATTCTAAAAGGATTGGAATTTGGTTGGAACAAAGGGTTTAAGAAACTTATAATTGAAAGTGACTCCACTTCGGTGATCACGTTGCTTACCAACAAAGGTAATGCTGTTCGAGAGTCGCATAATGTTACTCGTATTCGGACTTGGATGAACAAAGACTGGGACCTTAGCTGTTTATTTTTTGCTGGTTTTTGTGCTATCACTAGCATTAGAAATGTTCATTTTGTTTAGTTTGTTTATGGGCTGTTAAGCCCTTTCTTTGACCATATATATATATATATATATATATATATATATATATATATATATAACATTCAAAAAATTTCCTAAATCCAAGAATCTCATATATACCCTTTCACTGTTTCTCATTCAATAAAATTTTCTCTTTTATTTCTTTCTCAATCAGCACACATTACCATTGTTTCCGTTAATAACAAAGCCAATCAATTTACCGTTATTTTCATTAATAGCGGAGCCAATCAATTTTTTATTATTAATAATAGTGGAGCCATTCAATTTATAGTTAAAGTAATTAATAGAATATTTTTGGTGAGCATTTAATAGAATTTAATACCTATTAACTTTTGGCTTCAATACTTTTTTATTTTGAATTTATTGTCAACTAATAATAAATTAATGATAAAAATATTTGTTCTTTTAAAGAATATTTTGTGATTTTAGATTCTAACCGTTGATTTCTATCAATCAACGGTTAGGATTTATTGGGTTAAACTTATTAACTAATTAGTAATTCACAATAAAACTCATTAAATTTCAACCGTTGATTGACGAAAATCAACGATTAAAATATAAAATAATATATAATTATATACTTTAAAATGACAAACGTTTTTTCCTAAACTAATATCTAAATTATCTTACAAAATACTGAAATTAAAAGTGAATGTAACTTCGTGAATAATTACCATAACTAACTTATTATGGCCAACTCAAAGAATTATTGAAAGTGGATTCTCCTTAAAAAATAATTAGAGTTAGTATAAAAAAATTTAAAAATAAAAAACAAACAGTTGAAAAAGTTACATATCTTACTTTTTTTTTTTAAAAATAAAACAAATTTTTTATATTTTTTTGTCTCATTCTATTCTGTTACAATCTATCCAGGCGCATCTAAGGACACCTATGGTTATTTTTTTTTTTTGAATACAATAATAGGAATAAAACACATAATTTAATACAAATTACCCAAACCACTAATTACTAAACCAATTCTAATGCTGCTTAGAGTCAGTAATGGTATAAAAAAAATTAAAAAATATTACATATCTTATTTATTTTTTTGAAAAAAAGATAAAACAAAACTTTTCTATTATTTTTATCCCATTCCGTTCTGTTACAATCTATCTAACCGAATCTAACGGCGCCTATCACTGTCTTCAGAATGTGATAAATGATGAGTTCTATTCATAGGATTACTGAAGTTGTCCACGTGGCATGTAAAGTGCTGCATCCATTGGGTACATTCAGTGAGACAACATGAATGAAAAGAATGAGACTTTTTAATTTTTATGGTTCGAGTGTTTCTGGCTTTTGTTTTTTCCCCCCATGAATGGATACTATAAAATGTTTAATCCTGGTAAAAAACTAAGAAAAAAAAGTATGCAAGGGAAGTAAAACTATCTATTATGTTCACATATCAAAACCTACTCCTAGAATAGAAGTCACATGTTACAAAAATTATTAAGATATTCAAGAATCTGATTAATTTTGAATAAAAAAAATAACTTCAACTTCAAAGTTGATATTCTCATGTAAATAAATAAGATAATTATATTCCATAAATTCAAAATACCATTTTGAGATTTAAAAAGTAAGAATATTTAAAAAGTGGAAGTAAATTTTCAAAATATCCTAAATATCAAATCATTTTGATATTTTAACCGATAACTTTATCTTTAGAAATTTTTTTCCTTATATAATTTTTTCAAAATTAATTTTATGAAAAAAGCTAAGGGAAAAGATATTTTAACAACCAAATTGTGTTACTACCATGTTACTACCAATCAGTCTCACCGTTAGATTGATTATGTTGATCCAATAGTTATATTTATTTTCATATAATTATGATTCCCCATATTTAAAGTGAAAGCATTAAATACGGAAAATCATAACCATACAAAAGTAGAAATAAATATAAAGTATTAAATTTGAGAAATCATGACCATACAAAGATAAAAATAAATATAACTGTTGGATCCATATAATCAATTTAACGATAAGATTGATTAATAATAACTTGATAATAACATAATTTGCTTGATAATAACATAATTTGATTCTTGCACTATCCTTTCCAAAAACTAAAAACTAATGATAAGAGTTTCAAATTGACAAGGGCACTTTAATCCAATCCCTTTAAACAAACAAGAAGAAGGGGCACTCCTTTATATAAATACAAACTCTAAAACCTGTTTGTGTTGTGTTTCACCCTTTTGCATCAGTTTGCCCTCGCAGCACTTTGTTGTTGGCGTCTGTTAACATTGCAACTGTCTCAAACGCGCACACACACACTGAGTCACACTTACACACACAAACAAACCCGTTACGTAACCTCACTCACTGTCCTTCCAAACCCTAATCACCCCACCACACTATTCTTCTGCTGCCACACTGACCCAGCTTTTTCTTTCACCAAAACTTCACAAAAGAAAGCTTTTTTATTCATACCCGCGTGAGATTTTCGCTGTTTTAGCTTGGGATTCTTGTGCTCGGTATATCATCAATACAGGTGGCAACTGAAGTTGTAATCTTTTTGTGATCTTTTTACTTTTTTTTAATCAATATCTGTGTACTCATTAGTTTGTTACTCTTAGGTTTTGTGTTATTCGCCAAGTGAGATTTTAGGGGAGAAATCTTGGGTGTTAAGCGGATTGGTGAGAAAAAAAGCAGTTATGGTCACTGTTGAGAATGAGATTGGGGAGGATCAGAAGGAGGTTAGTGCTCCCAAGTCTCCATGGAAGACCCCTATTGTTGATGGGAATGGAGTTGATGTGTCTGTGATGATGGGCACAGAGTCTTGGCCAGCACTCTCTGATGCCCAACGACCCAAGAATCTTGAGATTGCTCCTCCAAAGTCTGAGGATGCAGCAGCTTTTGTGCCAAGTGCTGGTGAGGTTGCTCCACCACCTCCATCTGTTCAGGTTAGTGAGTTTTATGGCATGGAAAATGAAATGCTAAATTTCATGTTAACGTAAGATGTTTTTGTTTTCATCTCTATATATTTATTGTCTTGTATATTAACTGAAATTGTTTGTTTAGGAGAGACATACGTGTCCAGTTCTTATTTTCATGATTTAAGCACTGAGTATTGTAAGCACAAGAATTGTGATTGTTATTATTGATTAACATTAGATGGTGTATAAATAAGGAGTAAATAAGACTGGAATTCCAAAGTTTAACAGATTCATAGATGCCTATTATTTTTTCCCCATTAATTATTCTGTTGTTTTAATAGAAATAAAAGTTGTATGCTACAAGATTTTTAACTTTGGTATTGATTTTTTTTTTTCTTGTTTGTGGCTTTGCATGGGGTCTCTTGCTCAACAGAAGTTGAATGGTTCTGGAAATCATAATCCGTTGCATAAGCTGCCAACATCACGCCATCAAAAGCCGGGTGCTAAGCGCCACTCAAATGGTGCACCTCCATTTCCTGTACCAATGGCTTATCATCAACCATCTCCTCCGTATTTTCATGCTATTGGACCGCCACCTCACATTGCTGTTCCTGGGTATGCTTTCCCACCTGGTCCAGGACCTTTTCCGAGTGTTGAAAACCCTTTAGTGAAGCCTGTATCTCAGGCACCAGGACAAGCTTTTGCTCCACCTGCTCATGCTGTTGATGCCAAAAATGTTCAGCTTCCTATGCAAGGGGATCCAAATGCCTATATTGCCAATTTTTCTAATGGAAGACCAAATATCCAAGAACAAGGTGACCATCTAAATCATGGTTGGCATCATCAAAGACATTTTCCTTCTAGAGCAAACATTTCTATGCAACAGGGTTTAGGCCCAAGGCCCTTTATAAGACCTCCATTTTATGGTCCACCTCCAGGGTACATGGTTGGTCCAAGCTTCCCAGGTAAAATTTCTATTCACAGTCCTTTGTTTCTATTCACAATCCTTTGGTCCAAGCGTGCACACACACATATATATATGTACATATATATATATATAAATATATATATATGTGGGATTAATGTTTGTTTAGTCACTTAGACTCGTTTTGAGGTTGGGAGAAAGTTATTTTTGTAATTCTAATTTATTCTGGAGTTATATGTAATTCCAATTTTTATCTTCTGGATAGGACCAGCACCTGTATGGTGTGTCCCCATGGCACCTCCTGGCCCCATTAGGGGACCCCATCCTCGGCATTTTGTTCCATATCCTGCCAGCCCAGCACCTCAGCCACTGACTCCAGAAGCTCTATCTTTAAGGTCTAGAATTGCGAAACAGATAGACTATTATTTTAGGTAAGTAATTTTATTGTTGACTATGACTTCTATATCTTGCTTGATCTTGATCTGTTAGCTATGATTAGATATCTGTTCTAAATATCTAACGTAATAAAATGTTTCTTGGCTATTTGTTTCATCTCACGTCTGCCTATCTATATTGTGAGAATGCTGTTTCCATTGATGTCAAGATATCATCATTTAATTTCTTTAATAAGAAAAATCATTATTTTAGACTCTCTTAGGCGCCAAACCCGTCCCTTCTTGACTAGGATGAATGCACTAATTTTACTCTTAGATGGGATTCTCTAAAGATTACTGCCTTAGATGATGAAGTGGAACTGATCTGTGGTGTTTGGGCTTTGGAGAGTTAAAGCAACAAAGTCTAAAATGATTATTGCTTGCTTTAGTAGGTTTTATAAAATTTCAAGTTGTTACACAGAACGAAATGGACGGAAAAAATTGCTTAAGAACTCCTGTAATCATATCCATGCTATGTGAGAATAAACAAATGTAATTCATATGATAAAGACTGCTCATACAGCAAACTGCTGACTTCAGAGCCTTCTCTTGGCAGTGATGAAAATCTGCAGAATGATCGTTATCTTATTTCCTTGATGGATGACAAAGGATGGGTTCCCATATCCATTGTTGCTGGTTTTAAAAGGGTATGTCCAAAGCATATTTTGCCTCCCAATTGTGTTATAACTTTCAGATGTATGCTATCTGCAGGTGCGTTGTGTGATCCATGTTATTACCAGTTTCCCACTTACCTTATATAATGTGAATTGTCTTGTTGTAGGTCAAAAGGATGAGCACAGACATACCTTTCATCCTTGAAGCACTTCAGAAGATCTCTAAAGCTGTGGATGTGCAGGTTATATACACATGGGTTATTTCATGTTTATAATTTTTTTTTACTGCATGTCTGCTGGGGTACACAGGCATAAACTTAACATTAACTCTAGAATCCAGTTAATTGCTTTAATTACTTTTGCTCCAAAGCTGTTTTTTTAAATGGTATTGTCTTTACTCTTGTTCTTGTTTATCTCTGATATAAATCTTGGGAGTTGGTAATTTCTAATTTTTTACGTTAGAGATACAATTTAAAACCATTCATGTGTCTTCACCTAACAAATTAAGCTCTTGACACTTATTTAACTAGGATCATGAGTCTAATATTAATATAAATAGGGGTTAGTGCTTTGTCTCTTGTGTCACATTATATTACGTCAAATAAATATTAATTCCAAATTATTTAGTCTCTGTTTTTCCTTTTCTTCTTTTCCTTCCTAAATCCGTAGAATTTCAATATACATATAAGTTACTCTTTCATTAAATTTCAAAAGGAATTCAGTTTTGAAAGTTTTTGTCTGCATTAAGTATAGAATAATTCTTATAAGTTCAACACATCTGCGACATCTATAGTATGGATGTGTTGAACGTATGAGGATTACATAATGCTAGTTTGTTATTCAAGATGACATTTCTGTATGGGCTTTTTTTAAGTTTAATCTAGATTTTGATATGGTTGTGTTATAGATGAATTGTGGAGATGAAGATGGCTATCCTTCTTAGCTTAAGAGACTTTAGAACTTCTTGTTCTCATATGTAGGTTCTATATTTATATAGAGAAGAACACCTTCATGATATTGTAGCCAGCTTTAAGTTACTACAGCATTAGGGCATGAAAATTTGGAGATACCTTATGAATTAGTTAATTTTTTCTAACTGCTGCTTCATTTTCTAAGTTGCCCTCACTTGTAACCTGTTGTATTTTTTTTAGGGTGACAAGATAAGGAAACGTAATAATTGGTCAAAATGGATTCGAGTTTCCTCAGGAAATTCAGGATCATCAATGGACCAGGTTCAACAGAGCCAACTTGTAGAGGATGCTGCTGATTCTCTTGAGAATATGGATGCTGTTGGAGATAAGACAAAGGAGACTTCTGAAACAAATCTTGAAGATGCTGCTCATAATTCAATTCTGGCAGAGGATGATCAGTCAAAGAAAGATACATTACAAGTTTTTCATATGAACCGAGAACAAGATACCGAGAGTCATCACTCCAATGATAAACTAGATGCAGTAACTGGTGAAAGTGTTAAGTTCTCTGATTTTGACACAACTAATAGTAACTTATGCTGCCACTCACAAGAAACTGACCCGAAAACATTTGATTATAATGAGACTGGAAACATGGATGTTTTGGCTGATGTGGATATCAGAGACCTTTCCAATGATTTTGGCAATACCTTTATGCTTGATGAAGAGATAGAGCTTGAGCAGAAGATGCTAAAGAAGACTGAGCTTTCTTCTAGAAGGTACTGCAAAGTTCTGATTTATCTTATTGATATCTAGAAAAAAATTGACTTCTTTTACGTGAAAACTTTAGTGCAAAAACAAAACTGTTTCACTTGTATATTCTGACAGTTTGCTTGCTTGTTTTTCTTTAAATAATGTCCATAATATTTATTTTGAAGTTAAAAAGACAATTTTTCTATGACTTGAATTTCAAAGATTCCTTTCTTTCTTTTTGTTTGTTAAAACAATGTTAACATCTTCTGTTTGAGATGTTAGAATACTTTTGTTTTCCTTTCTTTTCTTTTCTTTTGTGGCATCCCATATGGAATAATAGTAGGTGATTTTCATGCCATTGTCGTTAAGCATGCGTTCGCATTTTGTTTGAACATTCGTCTGATGGATTTTGTTTCCTAAAAGGATTGATGATGAAGATGATGAGATGGCTGTCATTGAACAGGATGTTCAGAGACTTGTAATTGTTACCCAGGTATTGCTGTTCATAATGGTAATTAAAATAAAGTTCATATATTTAATATTTCCTCAGAAATGGGTTATCATTCAAATTAAGTTTTGGTTTTATATTTCCAGATTGCTCAAACAGCATCACTGAAAAATTAAAATGAATTGAATGGTTTTTGATGGCTATACAGAGGCTGGAACTAATAGCTATAGTGCTCTGTACTACATAATTATAAGGCTGTATAATATCTATTTTTTTGTTTGTATGAAAACTGATTTAACCATGATAAATAGATTGTTAATTGCATTGAATATATTATTTATCATTTTTCTATTTCAATGTACAGAATAGTGATATTAAACAAGGATCTAGAGGTGGTGGTAAAGAATCGAAATCCATTTCCAATGAGCTTGCTTCTGCAATAAATGATGGGCTTTACTTCTATGAGCAAGTTGAGACACCATGCTACTTCTATTTTTTACCAGTCATTATTTATCTTATACATCATCTTTTTTATTAAATTTTTTAGTTGCCCCATCTAATTACCAACAGGAACTGAAACATAGGCGGTCTAATCGCAGAAAGAATAACTGTGATAATAGAGATTGGAACTTAAAATCTCCAAGCCATACTTCAGGAGTATCAAATATAAAGGAGGGTGAGAATATCAATGGAAGCATTGTTCTTGAAGAGTCTGGAAGCAACAATTCTCGAAGGAAACAAAAAGTCTTTCCCAAGCAGCAGTCTTCCCTTAAGCAACGGTTTTTCTCGAGCAATTTTAGAAATCATGGAACTGGCCGTAACTCTCATGGAATCATATCTGAAAGCCCACCTAGTAATTCGGTTGGGTTTTTCTTTGCTTCTACACCACCTGAAAATCATGGGTCAGTTCAGAATGATTGTTCCCAATGCTAAATGACTGTGATATTGGTTTGCTTCCCTCTTTTTCCATTACAGGAAAAATATCAAGTAATTGTTCTATCAAAAAAAGAATATAAAGTAATTATTTGTTCAGAGAGTATGCCATACTTTGAACATGATAAATGAGACATGTTGATTGTTTTGTTTGATGACTTAAAGATGTTTCCAATAATTATCTTAATATTGCAGTCTCAAGCCTTCCATATTGAGTAGTTCGCCACATGGGGGTTTTTCTGGAAGTAGTCCACCTGTGGGTTCAATGCCAAAGTCTTTTCCACCATTTCAGCATCCAAGTCACCAACTTTTAGAAGAAAATGGTTTCAAACAGCAGAAGTGAGTGATAATGCTTGCTTACTACATGTGTGCATGAGCATTAGTAGGATATAGGATATATTGTATTTTCACAATTCCTCATGTGATTATTCTTCCTTTTCAGGTACCTGAAGTTTCATAAAAAATGCTTGAATGATAGAAAGAAACTCGGAATTGGCTGCAGTGAGGTGAACTTCATTTCTTATATTTGTATGAAAATAATATTTGTGAAATTTTGGATGCTGAACGGAATGAAATTTGGTTCTGTCCGCTTTGGCAGTACGCGCTATGCAGATTGATCTCGTTCTCTCTATACTAGTGATTCTTTCTGATCGCATTACTTTTGTTGTGCATCTAATATTTAGTCTATTGTCTTTCTTTTTATTAATTGAATGTTATGAGTTATCTTCTAAAAAACTTCTTGTGTGGATATGCATCAAGTGTTTCTGTGAAAATTGTCGAAAATTTACTACACTTGCTATTGTCAATAGTGGTTTACAGTGCTCAACTCTTTCTCTTTTTATCTTGAATGCTGTCATTAGTTGAAGCTGTCATATCAGAATGAGCTGGGATGAAGTATTGTGATCTTCATAAGCTTAGTTTTTTGTGTTAGGAACATTTTTCATGTAATTTATTTTTCATTTTATTTTCAAATTTAGTATTTAAATTTTCTCAAATTATATCCTCTTTTGATTATACACTTGCTTATTCTGGTAGTTCCCTCCCTCCTTGTGTGTGTAATGCAGGAAATGAACACATTATATAGGTTCTGGTCCTATTTTCTTCGAGACATGTTTGTTCCTTCTATGTACAATGAATTTAAGAAATTAGCCAAGGAGGATGCAGCTGCAAATTATAATTATGGTATAGAGTGCCTTTTTAGGTTCTACAGGTATCAATTTCAAATTTTGCTTTAATCATTTGCTTGAGAAGTTAGAACCATCATTTAGAATTCATCTTATGGTCCTCTCTGTGGAGGAAAGTAATAGACTGATTTCAAGTTTTTTTAATATTCATTTATTGGTTATTGGGAGAAACCAATTAAACTGGTTTTTCGCTGTCCTTTTTTTTTTCCCTTAAAAAACATTGATGCATCCGGTACTTCTGACTTTTGAATAATTTTTTTTCAGTTATGGTTTGGAGAAAGAATTTAGTGATGATTTGTACAAGGATTTTGAGCAGCTTACTCTGGATTTCTACCATAAGGGCAATCTGTATGGCCTGGAAAAATATTGGTAAAACAATTTACTCTCGCTCCTTATTTTTTTACTGCAAGTTTTTGTTTTGTAGTTTTATTCAAATCCTTTTCCTGATTTCATGTGAGATTTGTTACAGTGAAAGAAGTAAATCATATTGATTTTTTAGAGGCTAGTACATAAACTGAAGTGTATATATATATAAAAAAAAACCACTCTCCAATTAAACCCGACTAGCGAGTGTGGGGTGAAGGCAATCCTTGTAAGTAGCCTTATCCTTGCAAATAATTGCAAAGAGGTTGTTTCCCGCATTCGAATCCGTGACCTTTCGGTCACAAAGGAACAGCTTTATCACTGTTGCAGTTCGCCCTCTCTAACTAAAGCGTATACTAGATAGATAAAAATTGTCCACTTCTCTATGAAATCCTGATTGTACATCCTCTTCAGTTATATATGATAATTTCCTGGTATATCTGACTTGTTCTACTGCACAACAATATTTTTTAACATTGTTTCTGACCACACTGCAAACAGTTCTAAACGTTAGAAAAAAAATATACATTTTATGACAGTAAATAGAAAATATTGTTAATTTATCATATTACTTTTGCCCTTCTCTTCACATTATCATCACTCTTAGGACTTATGCTTTGTTCATATTCATGGCACTGACAGGGCATTTCACCACTATGGCAAGGTACGTGACCAAAAAGAACCATTGAATAAACACCCTGAACTGGACAAGTTGCTCAGAGAAGAATATCGTAGTTTGGAGGATTTCCGTGCCAAAGAAAAGAACATAGTGAAAGAGGACTTCAATTAAGCTGAGTGATGTGCCTGAATAGTAAATACACAAGTCTCAGACCAATTTTGAGAAGAACTCTTAACAACAACTTGACATATGAGTTTGAAGTATCGGCATGCTTTTTGGTTTGTTCTATAATGGATGGTTGGATTGATTATGCCTCTGCATGAGGATTGCTGATTGGCAACTTGAAAAGAATGCTAAGTCTTTTCAAGTTTCTTTGATGGATATATGGTATACAATACATCCTTTTTTTGCCTGGATCTTTAGACTTGGGGAGGCACCTTTTCTTGTCTCCAAATTATTGTACATAAAGATTACAGACTAGAAGTTGCGAATATTACAGCTCACTGAAAAAGAGGTCCTTGTCTATTTTTTGGAAGGGGGTGAAAAAAGAGGGGAAAGGGTTGTACTTAAATCTTACCAAATTTGAACAATAAGAGTGAGAATCCTCTTACTGTTACATAACTTGCTCAACTAATTTTTGTGTAAGAATTCTTGTCACACCAAGTTGCTATGGTTTTTAAAACCAATATTAGCATTTGTTGGGTTTGATTGGATGAGATTAAACATCATATCAACTCAACATGTATGAGATAATTGTGACCATGACATGAAGTAACAATTGTCTTCGTGTCATTAAAGTTGCCCAAAAGTTGATAAGACATCATCATCGAGCTAATCGATAGCTTCTATAGGGATGAACAAACGTAAGTTAAAAGGGTGGTTATCCATCTACCATAGGAGAAAAGTTTAGTGCACTACCAAAACTCGGTGGTTTTTTTAACTCAAAAGGGATTTTTTTATTTTTTTATCCATTTTATCATATATTTTCCTTTAAGTTCTAAAAAAAAAAAATTAGTAAAAGGATCATCGAGTTTATTTTTTCAAATGGTATAGAAACAAACCATTCCTATATTATACTTTTTGATCAAAAGAAATCCTTTCAAATTATATTTATCGATTTGATCCTTGGTTGAAATTATTTATTAAAATGAAATAGTTGAACTTGAACCACTTCACTAGTGAGATATATCCTAGGACGGGTGGATATATGAATATTGATATATCCTCCGAAAACATTAGTCTTAATAATTTTTTTATTTTCAGTTTATTTTTTCTAAAAAAGGTAAAATAGGACATATGAGTTTAAGTTTGTAGCGATGTTAAAAATGTATTTGAATGAAAAAAAAAAACTATAGAAAGTAAGTGATTAAAAAGGTATAATGGGATAAATGATTCAAGAGTAAAACCACAAGGATGAACTTTGAACTTTTCCTAGGAGTAGAATATAAAATGTATTCAATATTTTTCTATTTAACAATTAGGAACTTTTCCAAAAGATTGTATCAGACAATTGAGAATTATTTTTAATTTCAAATGTTATTTTACTTAATAAATTTAATAATATTTTTTAATTTAAATCCATTTCCATTTTAATATTAATTTAATATCCTGTACCCGAGTAAATGTTACATTTACTTGAGAAAATGTCTAGTGCCAAATAACGTCGCATTATATGTAAAGTTTAATTTTTTTTTTAAGTCTCTTTAATTGGTTCATCCTTCGGACGATCTCTGGTTAAAGGACACAAACTCCATACCATTTGTGCCAATAGTGTTTAGTTATAAAGTTCAACTTTAAGTTATAGTTTATTTGATAAGGGATAGGATCCTTTGACATCAGCGTCAAATTTTAAAATTTGACACCAAATCCTAACCGTTGATTTCTGCCAATCAACGATTATCATTTATTGAGAACCAAACTTATTAATTACTATTAATTCTCAATAAATAATAACCATTGATTGGCGAAAATCAACGGTTAGTATTTGGTGTCAAATTTCAAAATTTGACACTGGTGTCAAAGGATCCTGCCCCACATAGGGATAGTATCCTTTGATATCAGTGTCAAATTTTGAAATTTGACACCAAATCCTAACCGTTGATTTCCGTCAATCAACTATTATCATTTATTGGGAACCAAACTTATTAATTACTATTAATTCTCAATAAATGATAACCGTTGATTGGCGAAAATCAACGGTTAGGATTTGGTGTCAAATTTCAAAATTTGACACTTGTGTCAAAGGATCCTGCCCCATATAGGGATATGATCCTTTGACATCAGTGTCAAATTTTGAAATTTGACACCAAATCCTAACCGTTGATTTCCGTCAATCAACGATCATCATTTATTGGGAACCAAACTTATTAATTATTATTAATTCTCAATAAATGATAACCGTTGATTGGCGAAAATCAACGGTTAGGATTTGGTGTCAAATTTCAAAATTTGACACTGGTGTCAAAGGATCCTGCCCCATGCAGGGATAGGATCCTTTGACATCAGTGTCAAATTTTCAAATTTTGAAATTTGACACCAAATCCAAACCTTTGATTTCCGCCAATCAACGATTATCATTTATTGGGAACCAAACTTATTAATTACTATTAATTCTCAATAAATGATAACCGTTGATTTCCGTCAATCAACGATTATCATTTATTGGGAACCAAACTTATTAATTACTATTAATTCTCAATAAATGATAACCGTTGATTGGCGAAAATCAACGGTTAAGATTTGGTGTCAAATTTCAAAATTTGACACTGGTCTCAAATGATCCTGCCCCATATATATATATATATATATATATATATATATAGTTTGTCGGATATATACTGACCGCACCAAAACATTGCTGCAGTCATATAAAATAACGTCGTTTTATAGTGTCAAAGCATTAAATATGAAAATCATAATCATACAGAGGTGAAAATAAATATAAAGCATTAAATATGGGAATCATAATCATACAAAGATAAAAATAAATATAATATTTTCATTTTCTACAAATCATATATATATATATATATATATATATATATATATATATATATAATCAAATCATTCGAAATTCTAATTGATAAGAGCTTAATTCAAATTTCATTCCAAGAAATTCCTTGGACCAGGACCACATTGTATTAATAAAAGAGTAAACACCCTTTTTAGTCCCTGGCAATATCTACGAAGTCCTTTTCAGTCCCTGGCAATAAAAAAGGACCAAATTGGTCCCTGAAAGTACAAGAAAAGGGCCACTCTACATATTTGGGAGTTGACATAAGGAATAACATGGCCCTTTTTTTGTAATTTCAGGGACCAATTTGGTCCTTTTTTATTGCTAAGGACTAAAAAGGACTTCGTAGATATTGACAGGGACTAAAAAGGGTGTTTACTCTTAATCAAATTAAGCATGGTAACTATATCGATACTGCCATTGCAAGAAAAACGAACACACGCTTATAGACTAGTTGTTCTTCTTTCATTTTTTCTAATACCAATTTATTCCATCTTCTAAATTATATATCAATTTATCAAAGGTTATCAAATGTGGCAGGATCCTTTTACACCAGTTTCAAATTTTGAAATTTGACACCAAATCCTAACCGTTGATTTTCGCCAATCAACGGTTATCATTTATTGAGAATTAATAGTAATTAATAAGTTTGGTTCCCAATAAATGATAATCGTTGATTGGCAGAAATCAACGATTAGGATTTGGTGTCAAATTTCAAAATTTGACACTGGTGTCAAAGGATCCTGCCCCATATATATATATATATATATGGAAGGGTACAATTTATTACACCTTTTATTAAATTAGATGATAAAGTACCATAATATTAAATTAAAATTACAGATCAGATACTAAATATAAGTGAATCGTCTATAATTGAGTGTTGATTTTCTTGCGCATTGATATAGTTATTGTCATTAATTTGATTAATACATCGTAGTCAGAGGAATTTCCTTGATTGAAATTTGAATTAAGCTCTTGCCAAATACAAGGTGGCAATCAATTAAAAATTGAAACTATTTGATTTTATTCCAAAAATGTGACAATACACTATCTCATCAACTGGAGCGGGCCTTTGGATCTAAATCAATTCAGACATTTAGTCTCTATATATTTTGAACCCTTCAACAACGCAAATATACATATATCTCTCTTACTGGTTCTCAATATTTTATCTAACCCTCTTTGTCGCAGAGAAAACAGATGATGGCTTTGACAATGGAGGTTTTGAGCTTCAGAAAAATGATGATGATCATTGTCATGATCATGATGATGGGAAACATGGCACAATCTGAGCTTCACCATGTTGGAGGGAACAAGATTAGTTGGTCACCCAAAGTTAACTTGTCAGAATGGTCAAGTCATGAGAACTTTCACGTGGACGACTGGCTATGTAATCTTTCTTCTCTTATTTTTTATTACTTTAACACTAGTTCTAATGGATTCATATGATGAAAATGAACGGGTACATAGTCATGTATGTATTATTATTTTTTATCTTTTTTATATAATGGTAACACAAAGGGTTGAACTTATAATCATGTATATTCTATTTTTTAAACCTAACATAGTGACTTTCTTTATGCTCTCTCTTTTTTACTTAACTTTGTTTGTTTATAACTTATTTTCTCCTCTACTTCACTAGTACACTAATGATGTAGTTATGTTTTAAAAGAGAAATTTAAATAATTAAATATTAATAAATTTAATTATAGGTTTTGATTTTTGCCTTGTAATATAAATCATCTCAGAGATGAGATTATTTTCTGTACACCCTGTGTACGTGCGACTTCCACTAAAAAATTGACACTTGAATTAAGAAATTATTTTTCTCTCCCTATCGTGCGCACATTACAAAAAATGCCTCATTTTGATTGGCCCGTCGCATCAAGTTGGTGGTGTGACGGGTATAATGAAATGCATATTTTAGGAGAATTGTTTTCATATATTAAATTTTAAAGGAAAAAATTTTCACTCTTTTCTAAAGACTACCTTACAACTCCCTCCCTCCCTTTCTACATAAATCAAATGCATAGCATAATAAATAAATTATTATTTATATATTGCTTTCTTTGTTTTGACTCAAATGGGTAAGTCAATGTCATTATGTTGATTCATGTAGTTGAATATGCATAGATTCAAAACCAATAATCTAACAATTCAAGATATATTTCCTCATCACATTTTAATTTTTAGTTAAAATAATCTCAAATAGATGCACAACAACTCACAATTCACAAATAATATACAATGATTAAGTTTTATGTACATCTCCCTCAATTTTGGTTTCTTAATACAAGTAAAGCTTTTTGGGTGAGAAATGGACAATTTTAAAAGGCACAAATTACTGTAGATTAATTTACTTTCTCTTCGTACTATGATTTACTGATGTTTTATTTTTTTTGCCTGCCAGACTTTGGATATGATAGGTACATGTACAATGTGCTGGAGGTGAACGAGACTAGCTACAAAAACTGCATGGAGACAAATTTCATTAAGAATGTAACTGGGGGCGCAGGAAGGGACGTGTTTCACCTGCAAGAGGCCAAGACCTATTACTTCTTAAGTAGAGGAGGTTTCTGTTTGAAGGGAATGAAAGTTGCCATAAATGTTACTGAAAATATTGCAGCCACTCAACCACCAGTTCCACCAAAAAATAATGCTTCAGATGCTCGTGGCATTCAGGTACTTGTGTTGTTCATCTCATTCCTGATGTGGGGCATCCTCTGCAAATAACATCATCAGCTACTACAAATGGCAGACCACAAGTAGATTTACTATAGCATCAGCTGCAATTGTTATGTTTGTTTTTAGTCATTGTGTCATGGGAGGCTGAACTAGGAAAATTCAATGTTTCTTTTTTTCTTTTTCTTTTTTCTTTTTTCGGCATACATTCAAGGATTCTTTTAACTTTATTATTATGTTGTTCACGCTTACTCTTCTTGGTTGCTTCGAATGCCAACCATTATTATTTGTGAAAGGGTTTGAGTTTAAGTTCCATGAGTTAATTTTAATGTTTTTTTAGCAAATCATCAATTTTGTATCATGTGCAATTACCAAACTGGGACGAAACTAAAACTAAATCTTACTCGTTATTACAGTAAACTATTCCTCTGAAATCATAAGTGTTAGTACGGTACAAAATGCCAAAAATTATCATAGAGAATATCTCTTATCATAAGTGAGCTTTTGTGAAACATGACCAAAACTCAAACACCAAACAATCATGCATGAGTAAATTGCATAAGAATCAGAAAGATAGCCAGAAACTTTTTGTGCCTTTTGTTTTTCTTTTTCGTCCGGGGTGGGGGATCACAAGTTCAACCGCCAGTGGCTATGAGTCTCCATTTCAACACAAAATCACAAACAGATTACCGGTATGTCTAACTTCTCCTTTTAAAAGAATTCATAATTAACAGTCAAGAATTGATAATCGCTTCTACTGCCCATGTTCTACAGTCAGGGTTGGTAGCATAGCCACAGCCTCACCTTCAATGACAAGCAACTCACCATTCTTAAAGCACCTTGTCTTAAACTTTGCACTGAATAACATTGACAATGACAACACTAGTTAGAAACAAAATTACTAATTGTTCAAAAAAATGAACAATAGTAATGTTAAGACCCAACTTACAGATATCGATTTTTATTTTCTCTCAGATTAGTTGCTTGTACTTCACCAATTATCTCATCTCCAATATAGACGGGGAACTTAAAATTCAAGCTTTGAGATACATACACAGCTCCAGGCTACAATTATCCATAATATTAGAAAAGTGAAGGTTGCTAGGGGAAGAAAAGGAAGAAACTTTAGGAAAGTTGTCATCAAGGAAACGGGGTGAAGGACCTCATGTATTATTGCCTCAATTGGCAGTATCATTCAAGCACTTCGGGAATGATGTCTCTAACTCAAGTTGACTAAATCTAGTGAGTAGTAACTTGGTTTATGAAATCATACAAATAGAATTGACAAAACATAAGTCTTTAATCCATGGGTTCATATTTTCACGCCTTTCATAAAAATAGTAATAATTATGCTTATTTACATGTATCTTACGCTTTCTACTCATCATGACACATTTTAATCTATGCAACTGGTGGAAAGCCGCATGCCACTATTTGGCGTCTGACAAAATTTTCAAATGACAACGTTATATGAAATTTCAAGTCCAATTTCATGCCATAATTTTCCATTAACCGGTGTCTAATATTCAAGTCGACTGAAACAGTATTTTATAAGGCAGGGGGATTTTGGATCCCGGAATCAACTTTGGGTTCCCCAAAGCTGTTGCAAGTGGAGAAATTTCACTTGCATAAAGCCCAAACAAAGTGACCTTTTTCCTAAATATTTTACATGTAAAAATGTATATCATGTGAAAATGTATCACACATGATCTGTAAAAAAGAAGTCTCCAATTTTATTTCCAATTCTTGTTAGCTATTAATGTTTTTTTTTTTTTTTGTAAGATCACAAGGTATCCCCAGACCAGACCCTTCAGGTGTGGGACTACATCTATATTCGCAATACTAGATGAGTAGGTACTACTCGTTTACAAAAGTACGAAAAAATGGGACTTAAATGACATTAATCATAAAAGAGTAAGTTGAATAAATATACTTTAGTTAATTTTCTCTAACTTCAACTAATGAACTCTTCGGTACTATGGGAGTAGTTATGATATTTTCCTAGCAAATTCATATCATGTCTTGATTAATCTGTTTATTCACTCTAATCTTGTTTATTGATATGAGATGGCTGAGTATCTCATTTCCATAGCAGAGATATCAGAATTTAAAGAGAGGTTTAGTATGGGACTTACAAAATGTGATGAGATTATATGAGGAAAGAGAGAAGCAACGAGCATCCCATGTACCAGTGGACCTTCAAATCCAACATTTCGGGCAGTATCAGAATCAGTATGCAAAGGGTTAGAATCATGACTAACCTTGGAGAACTGAAGGACATCTTCCTCGGTAAAAAGCCTTTCTTTTCTCAATACATCCCCAGGCTTAAGTACAAAAGGAGTTGCAGATGAGAAGCACCTGAGACTCAGAGACTGGAGTTTGCAAGAATGTAAACTCCTGAAGAGCATTCTTCCAAGGGTTCAATTCAACAAAACAAAGCCCTGATGTTGTCCCCTACTAACTGAAAAGAAGCAGAGTGCAGCTTAATAATCCCAACACTGAAGACCACCTAAAATTTTAATAAATAAAAAAATGCCCATCAACTTGTTGTAAATAAAGCCAACCATTTTTCGTTTGTTCGATGTAGCAACTAAAGTTTTAAACTTTAAAGACAATGGCAGGTATGACAATGAGAGTATAAGGATATTGTAAAACGGAGTATGCATCATTACTCCAAAAAAATTTCCTTTTGGATTATTATTTGCAACGTTTTAACAAACAGCTTAGATGCATGCCAATAGCTGAAGACATATCGTGACAATTCAATGAAAATGAATCGAATTCCATCATTGGGAAACGTAAAAATTGAAATAGATGGTCGTTATTCCTTTCTTACTAGAATTTGGAACTCAGTGGCAAATGTTTCACCCGCAGAAAGAGAAGCAGCGTTTGTAGAAGCTATAAATTAGAGAACCAGCAGTAACATAGAAGACCCTGTAATCTCAATAACGAACCTTTTCTAAAGGGCTTGGGGGTTTTTTCATCACAATTATGTATGTAAGCCGTTTTACTGGGTTTGTCTTAGTAGGCATTTTTCTCTGATCTGCTAATTATTATATTTCATAAAAGAAAAACTTCAATTATATCATTATTAATAGGGTTCGTTTTTTTAGTGAATACGGATAAATTATCTATATTAAATTTAAAATGACATTGTTTTGAGACAAAAATTAAGGTATTTTATAATCATAATTTATTTCAAAGTTATAATAGTATTTAATATTATAATTTTTTAATCGTTAATTCAAAATAATATCTTTTTAAAAATGAATGTAAATGACTTTTTTGGATTAAAAACATTAAGGGGGCGTTTGGTTGAGGAGAAATTTTATGAATAACAGAGAAATGATATTCATAGGGAAATGGTAGAAAATGGTAGGAAAGTGAGTTTGATAGGAAAATATAAAAAAAAGTTGTTTGGTTGAAAAAAATTTAACCAGAAAAATTAGGTAACTTTTATAAATTCTATGTTTGATTGTAGATAAAATATAGATGGGAAAAAAGTTTATATTACGAAAATATCCCTGTTTATAAATTTTCTTTGAAAAGTATGACCTTTTAGTTTTTTTTTGTGGCTTCCATTTTAATTTTGATACTAGGTAGGAGGATTAGTTGGTCGGTTGACATCCTGCATAGTTTATTTGGTCGACTAACATGCAATAATACCATGTATCAATAGGGATTATTTGGCTGAGTTTCTCAAACAGATACCTATGCAAATCGTTTCGGTGGGATAATTATTTAGGTAGCCATATATTCCAAATGTTTAAATCAAACAAAGGCATTCAATTATCCCACTTCAAATACCCATCTATCTCAACATAATCCTCCAACCAAACACCCTCTTAGGTAGTGTTTGGTTGGGGAGAAGTGAAAATTTTGTTGGCAAAATGCATGTGGGAATCTGATGAAACCACGTTTGGTTGAAGCTTTTCGGTAGATTTGCTCATCAATTAGCTTTGCCTAGCAAATCAGGAAGACAAGCAAAAAACGGGTTTATGTACTGTTGAGGAAGCCGTCTGAACAGGTGGAATTGCTGTGAAAAATCGGATAAATGAAAAAGGTGATGAAGGCATGACAACTTTACCCCTCCTTCTTTTGTGGTTCGAAGGTTGTAATAAAACCAAGGTGTTTTTACAAGGATAGTTTTGTAATTTCATTAAGTTTTCCCATCAATATTTTATCTTCAACCAAACACACATTCAGAAATTTAATTCAATTTTTCTGGTAAAATTTTGCCTAACCAAACAACTTTTTTAAAACTTTCCTATCTAAACTCATTTTTCCTGCAGATCCCTAGTATTTACATTTCCCTAGTATTAAAAGATTTCTCCCCAACCAAACACTCCCCTATATTTTTCCATTGTGTGGGATACCTAAAATACCATCATTTGAATAATATTTTTCAGTAGCATTTTGGTTTAAAAAATGGAAAAAATATTTCTGCATTTACTGTAGATAACTTATCTGCATTTATACCCAAAATGACGTCGTTTTAGTATTGAAATCTTAGAAAATTATAAATATAAAGACTACTATAACCCTGAAATAAATTAAAATTACAAAAATACCATGATTTCCGTCCCAAAACGACGTCGTATTGAGCTTACTGCAGATAAGTTATCTGCAGTAACCGCAGAAAAAGCGAACCCTTAAAAAATATACATAAAACAAAATCCTAAGAAAATAACTTTCTCTAAAAAAAATTCTCCAATTTAAGAAATTTATTTTAAGAATCAAACATTTCCCAGACATCTAAACAATCAAACATGGGATTTTGAGAAATCCATCCTCAATTTCTCATACATCTAAAAACAATCCTCCTGAGAAACACTCTCTTAGCATAAAGCAGTAATGTACTAATGGGCGCTGTGAGTATAATGGCTTTGGTGGGAAATATTTTCGGAACTGACAATGGTTATATGATTAAGTGAAATAGGTTTTTCTAATTATATTTTTTTCTTGCATATCTTATCTATTCATTTTCAACATCATTCAATTAGAATATCAAAATTAGAGAAAAATAATGAAATTATAATCCAATAATATTAAAAATAAGTAGGTAAAGTAGACAAAAGAAAAAAAGTAGATAGAAAATCTTATCTCTAATTAAATAGTTGACGAAAATCTGAAAGTAATACCATATTCCATTTCGTTTGCTTAAACCTCCCTTACCTATAGCAATTCAGTATCACAAAACTTGGTAAAAATTGAAAATTCTTTTGGTTATCAAATTTAAAACCCATAATATAAATATCTCAAAGTACATGCCACACCTAAATTTGTAAGAGGTAATTCAACAACACAGCAGGTCCAGGTAGCAGTTCATCATGAAACCCACAATACTTTTCATTATCCTAAATTTGTAAGAGGTAATTAAGGATATGTATGATGAGGCTACTACATGTGTAAAAGTTTGTAACGGATCATCAAGTTATTTTTCTATTACGGTAGGTGTACACCAAGGTCGGCTCTAAGTCCTTACCTCTTTGCCTTAGTTATGGATGAACTAACAAAAGATATTCAATAGGAAGTGCCATGGTGTATGCTTTTTGCAGACGATATTGTGCTTATTGATGAGAGCAAGAGGGGTGTTAATAAAAAACTTGAACTGTGGAGAAGCACATTGGAATCCAAAGGATTCACATTAAGTCGAAGCAAGACTGAGTATCTGAAGTGTGAGTTTTCTCTGGTACGAGATGGGAACCAAGAGCCCGTGCATCTAAATGGTCAAGAGGTACCAAAAAAAGATGCTTTTAAATACTTGGGCTCCATTTTACAAAAAGGTGGAGAGATTGATGAGGATGTAAATCACAGAATCAGAGCAGGGTGGATGAAATGACGCAGTGCATCTGCATTTTTGTGTGACCGCAAAATCCCCCTGAAGTTAAAAGGAAAATTCTATAAAACGGCAGTAAGACCGGCAATGCTATATGGAGCAGAATGTTGGCCAGCACATAGGCAACATGAGCATAAGATGGGAGTAACAGAGATGAGGATGTTAAGGTGGATGTGTGGTTACACAAGGATGGATAAGATAAGAAATGAAGATATTCGACGAAAGGTCGGAGTAGTACCGGTAGCCGAGAAGATGAGAGAACATAGATTGAGGTGGTTTGGGCACGTGATGAGAAGACCCATGGATGCTCCTGTAAGAACAAAAGTTTGTTACCAAGAGCTAAACACAAAAAAAGGTAGAGGTAGGCCGAAGCTTACTTGGGGGAAGGTAGTAAAACAAGATTTAATAGAGTGAGATATAGATTGGCGGACAGTAAGTCTTAGAACGAAATGGAAAAAAGCTATAAGTATGGTGGAGGGTTAGACCCGCTGTTATTCCTATGTTCCAGATGGTCCCTTTTTAGTCGTTTTCCCCTTCCTTTCCCCCACTTCTTCTTGTCCCTTTCTTTTTTACTTTTATTTATTTATATATACATATATTTTTTTTTTTTTTTTTTTTAACCGTTTTGTATCTTTCATGTGGGTTCATCTACCACCGACCCCAATTAATTTGGGATAAGGGTGTTGTTGATATTGATGTTGATGTTGATGTAGATACTCTCACAACCCAGTATGTACAAAGCACTCATTTTTATTTTTATTTTTTTGTTATAACTAGGACGGGGAAGGGCAATTTCTGACCCAATCTGTCAGAGTTGCAACATTTCTATTAATGTCTTCAATAGTATCACTCTTCATTGCAACCACTCTGTCCTCCGGGTAACTTTCTTTAGCCTCCTCAAGCAGAACTTGAAAGATTTCACATTCAATATTGTTGGAAAGCTTTGAATCATTGTACCCCCTGTCATATAGAGAAAGTTTATGATGAAACCGAAGATAGAATTGCAAAACCAAAACTCAACAATAGAAACGAGTGCTTCCATACCTCCTGCTCAAACGGTCATACAAAATGGTGTTATCAGTTTGAAGCACAACCACACAATCAAACCATCGCTCAGGAAAGAAATCGCAGCCATGATAGTCCACAATGTTTCCCCCCTCTTCCATAACATCCTCAAGTTCATCACAGACCTACAAGAACCATACAAGATGTTGGGCTTCCTCCTTCAATGCTAAGCCCAAGCCCATTTGAGGGGTTTCCTAAAAACCCTAACCCTAATTTCCACCTCCTCTGTATATACTCATTACTTGTGGGTGGAGGCTAGGTCAGATTTGAGAGAACAAATTTGAGAGAATTATTTGATTGTTTGAGCAAAAGCTTTATGCTTTGCATTTGAGAGATCTCTAGAGAGAGTTTGAGTGAAACATCTCTAGGGTAGTTTGATTATCACCATTGTTGGAGAGGTTGAGTTAACCACCACATTGGTGTATTTAATTATTCGTAACCATTATTTTCATAGTGGATTTCTGATCTGGACTAGGTCCCGTGGGTTTTTACTTCTTCATTGGAGAAGGTTTTCCCACGTTAAATCTGGTTGTGTTCTTCTTCTCTCTCTCTCCTGTTTTTGTTTTGATTTTTCTGCTGCGCTTCCTGACCTGGTGAAGTTCAGGCCGAGGTATAGCCGAGATCTGAGATCAGGATCTTATTGATTGACTTCCGCACAAAGGCTGCTTAGCCGAGCTTGAGGGAACCGAGTTTTCTCAACAGTGGTATCAGAGCCCGAGTTTGACGGGTTTTGAAGGAGACGAGATGGAGACCAGTGGCATAACTCATGATGGAGATATGTTCAAGTTGACCGCAGACAACTTCACTTATTGGAGACCGATGATGGAAGATCATCTCTACTGCAAAGATCTGCATGAGCCCATTATCCTTGATGAGAGACCGGCAGACAAAACTGATAAGGAGTGGGAGATCCTGAGTCGGAAGGCGGTAGCCACGATCAGGAAATATATTGATAAAAGCCTCTTTGAGCACGTGTCTGAATTCACGAACGCGTATGAGTTGTGGACGAAGCTAGAGTCCATGATTCAGAAGAAGACTCCCAGGAACAAAGCACACCTGGTTCGCCGACTTGTTAAGCTTGAATACAAGGACGGCATGAGCATGATTGAACACCTGAACACCTACAAAGGTATTGTGAATCAGCTGTCAAAGGCTGATATGAAAATTGATGAAGAATTGCAGGCATTGCTGCTGTTTAGCTCGCTGCCAGAAAGCTGGGATACTCTGGTAGTGACCCTGAATAACTCGACTCCAGATGGAAAATTGAAGATGGATGTCGTGACAGACAGCCTCCTGGGCGAAGAATCCAGGAGAAGAGAATGAGGTACTTCGAGTACGTCTGAGGCCAACGTTGCTGAGAACAAAGGGAAATCTGACTCCCGCGGTAGAAGCAAAAGCCGAGGCAGAGGTCGTGACAGACGAGACAAGTCCAGAGGTCGGTCAAAGCCGAAATATGAGTTGAAGTGCTTTTACTGTGGAAAGACAGGCCATAAGAAGCCAGACTGCTGGACCCTACAGAATGATGAGAAGAACGTCTCTGTGAAGCCGGATCAGATTATTCCCAAGAAGAGGGAAGACAAGAGCACCACTGCGGTGGCTGCAAACCCTGATGCTGAGATATTCCTCCTTGGTGAGAATAATTATTTGAATGTTGCTTATGATGACTGCACCTGGATTGTTGACTCCGGTGCCTCCTTCCACGTTACTCCACACAAAGGTTTTTTCTCCTCTTATCGAGGTGGTGATTTTGGAGTCGTGAAGATGGGAAATCAGGTGACCAGCAAGATTGTTGGTGTCGGTGATGTAACTCTGACCACAGATGTCGGATGCCGACTTGTGTTGAAAGATGTAAGGCATGTTCCTGACATGCGTTTGAACCTAATCTCGGTAGGCAAACTTGATGATGCCGGGTTAGTGAACTACTTCGGTAGTGTGAGATGGAAGCTGGCCAAGGGAAACTTGGTCGTGGCCCGAGGTAAGAAGGAAGGCTCCTTGTACGTGATGCAAGGAAAGATCAATGGCGGAGAAGCCAATTCTGTTCGAGATGAACCTAGCTTGGAGCTATGGCACAAGCGCCTCGGCCACATGAGCGAGAAAGGGCTACAGATCATGAACAAGAAAGGATTATTGACCGGGTTGAAAGGCCAAGCGTTGGAGAGTTGCACGCACTGCCTAGCTGGAAAGCAGCACCGGGTTTCCTTTGTGAGACCGGATCAACCAAGAAGACGAAGGAATATTCTTGACCTCGTCCATACTGATGTTTGCTCCATGTCGGAGAAATCTCTTGGAGGAGCTCAGTATTTTGTTTCATTTATCGATGACCATTCCCGCAAGTGTGGGTATATTTGTTGAAGACTAAATACCAGGTACTCCAATCCTTTAAAGAATTCCATGCTATGGTTGAAAGGGAGACTGGCAAGAAATTGAAGGTGGTCCGATCTGATAATGGTGGTGAGTATTGCGGCCCATTTGATGCATACTGCAGAGCGGCCGGGATTCGACTTGAGAAGACGCCCCCCAAGACACCTCAGCTGAATGGATTGGCTGAACGGATGAACAGAACTATTGAAGAGAAGGTCCGAAGCATGTTATCCAATGCCGGATTGCCGAAATCATTCTGGGGAGAAGCCGTCAAAACTGTTGTTGACTTGATCAACCTCTCACCATCACGGCCACTTGAAGGAGAAATTCCAGAAGAAGTCTGGACAGGTCGGAAAGTGGCCTATAATCAACTGAAAGTGTTTGGATGCCGAGCTTTCGTGCATATCCCTAAAGATGAAAGGGCCAAACTTGATGCAAAGACCAAAGAATGCATTTATCTTGGTTCGCCGAGATGTGAGTTCGGGTTCCGACTTTGGGATCCAATCAATAAGAAGATCGTGAGAAGTCGAGATGTGATCTTTCATGAGCATGAGAACATTCATGACATCTCGAAGCCCAAAGTCCGGGTTACTGTCAGACGTGAAGAAGCCATCCCTCCTGTCCGAGCTGAAGCAGGGGGAGAAAATCAAGAAAATGATGATCAGCAACAAGCTGAAGATGACCAAGACATTGAGGTCCGAGTTGATGATGAGATCCGGGATGAGAATGATGAACCAGGTTCTCAAGCTGAAGAACAGCCGAGATATCCAACTCGAGAAAGAAGACCCTCTACGAGATATCCATCTGATGAATACATCGTTGTTGCTGAAGACGGTGAGCCTCAGAGTTATGATGAGGCTATGATGAGCTCAGAGAGAGAAAAATGGGAAAAGACAATGCAAGACGAGATGAAGTCTCTGCACGAGAATCAAACTTATGAGCTGACTGAGTTGCCAAAAGGAAGACGAGATCTGAAAAACAAATGGGTCTACAAGATTAAGAATGAAGAGAACGGGCAAAAGCCGAGATACAAAGCCCGGATTGTAGTGAAAGGCTGCAATCAGAAGAAAGGAGTAGACTTTGAGGAGATTTTTTCTCCTGTGGTGAAAATGACCTCGGTTCGAACCGTATTAGCCATGGCGGCTTCAATGGACCTCGAGGTAGAACAAATGGACGTGAAGACGGCATTTCTTCACGGTGATTTAGAAGAAGAGATATATATGGAGCAACCAGAAGGATTCCAAGCTTCAGACCAAGAAGACATGGTATGTCGGTTGAAGAAGAGTCTCTATGGCTTGAAGCAAGCACCTCGGCAGTGGTACAAGAAATTTGAATCATTCATGACTGATCATAAGTTTGAAAAGGCAGATGCCGACCACTGCGTATTTGTGAAGAGGTATGAGGCCGGAGATTTTCTGATTTTGTTGTTATATGTTGACGACATGCTTATTGTAGGGAAAGATAAATCGAGGATAGCCGCCCTGAAAAAGGCGTTGAGCTCGTCCTTCGCAATGAAGGACCTCGGCCCTGCAAAGCAGATTCTCGGAATAAAGATTATCCGAGATAGACAGAAGAAGCTACTGTGGCTGAGTCAAGAGAAATATATTGAGAAGATTTTGAAGAGATTCAGCATGGACAAAGCCAAAACAGTGAGCACCCCCCTAGCCGGACACATAAAGCTGAACCAAAAGCAATGTCCGAGATCTGATGAAGACAAAGATGAGATGATGAAGGTTCCTTACCAATCCTCCGTCGGAAGCTTGATGTATGCAATGGTTTGCACTAGACCCGACTTGGCGTATGCTGTAGGAATGGTAAGCCGATATTTGTCAAACCCCGGCAAAGAGCACTGGGAAGCAGTGAAGTGGATCTTCAAGTACCTACGAGGTACAACCGACTTATGTCTCCGTTTTGGAGAAGGCAAAGCCGAGTTGCAAGGCTACTCAGATTCTGATTTAGGGGGAGACGCCGACTCGAGGAAGTCGACTACAGGATATTTGATGAGATTTGCCAGAGGAGCTGTCTCTTGGCAATCAAGACTTCAGAAATGTGTTGCACTATCGACAACTAAGGCGGAGTACATTGCCGCTACTGAGGCAAGCAAAGAGATGTTGTGGATGAAGAAGTTCCTCATGGAACTCGGCCATGATCAAGACAAGTACGAGCTGGGTTGTGACAATCAAAGCGCAATCCATCTTGCAAAGAATTCTACCTATCACTCCCGCACAAAACATATTGATTTGAGGTATCACTGGATCCGGGATGTGGTGGAAGGTGGAGAGCTCGAACTCGTCAAGGTACACACTGACCAAAATTGGTCCGACATGATGACAAAGCCGGTTCTAGCAAGAAAATTTGAAGACTGCTGAGAAGGAGCCGGGTTGATGCTGAAGCCGACGCATTGAAGTCGGAGGGGGCGATTTGTTGGGCTTCCTCCTTCAATGCTAAGCCCAAGCCCATTTGAGGGGTTTCCTAAAAACCCTAACCCTAATTTCCACCTCCTCTATATATACTCATTACTTGTGGGTGGAGGCTAGGTCAGATTTGAGAGAACAAATTTGAGAGAATTATTTGATTGTTTGAGCAAAAGCTTTATGCTTTGCATTTGAGAGATCTCTAGAGAGAGTTTGAGTAAAACATCTCTAGGGTAGTTTGATTATCACCATTGTTGGAGAGGTTGACTTAACCACCACATTGGTGTATTTGATTATTTGTAACCATTATTTTCATAGTGGATTTCTGATCTGGACTAGGTCCCGTGGGTTTTTACTTCTTCATTGGAGAAGGCTTTCCACGTTAAATTTGGTTGTATTCTTCTTCTCTCTCCTGTTTTTGTTTTGATTTTTCCGCTGCGCTGCCCGACCTGATGAAGTTCAGGCCGAGGTATAGCCGAGATCCGAGATCAGGATCTTATTGATTGACTTCCGCACAAAGGCTGCTTAGCCGAGCTTGAGGGAACCGAGTTTTCCCAACACAAGATACCCTCGTAAAACCCATATACCGGGAAACATACACATGATGACAACATATGTATCAGCAGTGAGCATAACATCAAAATTGCTTCATGTAATTCAACAACACAACAGATCCTGGAGCAGTTCAACATCAAACTAAAATATCTCAACACATAATTGGAAAATAAGTAGGTTCTTAATACTAAATCAAAAAGGGACTCACATTTTCTTGTGGCAAACTAAAAGCCCTCAGAAAATACAATTAGATCTACATATGAAAAGTATTAACAGACAAATCATCAGAAGAATAATCAGTTTCAATGAGGGGAAGGGATAAGGACGATTGCAAAGTATTGGACATCACAAAAATAAGAATAAATGACATGGACATGGTATTTTCAGTGCAGGTCCTGAAAGCTACTTTCATCTATGAGCTATGTATTAGAGTGTAAACCTTTCCCATTCCCTTCAACCCCAATCTTGTGATTAGTAATCTCCAAGAGATAAATTAGAAATTGATCCATGAATATTACAAATATTAAGTAGCATGCATCTTTAACACGAAAGAAAGGAACAAATTCATGCACATTATATCTACCGCCTCAACTTCAATAATAATCAGCATCCGTCAGTTTATAGTCTATATTGAATCTATCGACCTAATATATACACATTGCCAAAATTAATTAATAAGAACTCCATCAAAAGCCATGTCATATGCCAACTATTTCGGGGGTAAGGAGCAGTGTATTTCATAGGACCTTATCTAAGACAGACTCCATCCAACCTTACTAACAATTTGATCTTAATTGTTATACAACTATTAGCATTTGTTGGGTTTGATTGGATGAGATTAAACATCATATCAACTCAACATGTATGAGATAATTGTGACCATGACATGAAGTAACAATTGTCTTCGTGTCATTAAAGTTGCCCAAAAATTGATAAGACATCATCATCGAGCTAATCGATAGCTTCTATAGGGATGAACAAACGTAAGTTAAAAGGGTGGTTATCCGTCTACCATAGGAGAAAAGTTTAGTGCACTACCAAAACTCGGTGGTTTTTTTAACTAAAAAGGGAATTTTTTTATTTTTTTACCCATTTTATTATATATTTTCCTTTAAGTTCTAAAAGAAAAAAATTAGTAAAAGGATCATCGAGTTTATTTTTTCAAATGGTATAGAAACAAACCAATCCTATATTATACTTTTTGATCAAAAGAAATACTTTCAAATTATATTTATCGATTTGATCCTTGGTTGAAATTATTTATTAAAATGAAATAGTTGAACTTGAACCCATTGGCTTCACTAGTGAGATATATGTTGGGAAATTCGTTCCCTCAAACTCCAATGTCAAGCGGGTTCAGGGGAAGCCCATGGCGGGGGCCACCACCAATGAGCTAAGGCTACACCAACCGTAGCAAGTGGATCCGACACCATGTCTCAACCCAAAACCTTAAGGCATTGGGTTCATGGGTCCTTGCACTTATATACTCTTCACTTAGCTCATTACCAACTAATGTGGGACTCGTCACACTTGAATATCTCAACAATCTCCCCCTCAAGGGTGAAACCCACCATTGGTATGCTCCCCCTCAACCGAGTACCCGAAGCGCAAAGTACTCGACCCACCTCCTAGCCAATCACTAGGCTAGCTCGAGCCCAATCCGGCTTTGATATCACTATTGGGAAATTCGTTCCCTCAAACTCCAATGTCAAGCGGGTCCAGGGGAAGCCTGTGGCGGGGAGCCACCACCAATGAGCTAAGGCTACACCAACCGTAGCAAGTGGATCTGACACCATGTCTCAACCCAAAACCTTAAGGCATTGGGTTCATGGGTCCTTTCACTTATATACTCTTCACTTAGCTCATTACCAACCAATGTGGGACTCAATACACTTGAATATCTCAAAAATATATCCTAGGACGGGTGGATATATGAATATTGATATATCCTCCGAAAACATTAGTCTTAATAATTTTTTTATTTTCAGTTTATTTTTTCTAAAAAAGGTAAAATAGGACATATGAGTTTAAGTTTGTAGCGGTGTTAAAAATGTATTTGGATGGAAAAAAAAACTATAGAAAGTAAGTGCTTAAAAAGGTATAATGGGATAAATGATTCAAGAGTAAAACCACAAGGATGAACTTTGAACTTTTCCTAGGAGTAGAATATAAAATGTATTCAATATTTTTCTATTTAACAATTAGGAACTTTTCCAAAAGATTGTATCAGACAATTGAGAATTATTTTTAATTTCAAATGTTATTTTACTTAATAAATTTAATAATATTTTTTAATTTAAATCCATTTCCATTTTAATATTAATTTAATATCCTGTACCCGAGTAAATGTTACATTTACTTGAGAAAATGTCTAGTGCCAAATAACGTCGCATTATGTGTAAAGTTTAATTTTTTTTTTTTTAAGTCTCTTTAATTGGTTCATCCTTCGGACGACCTCTGGTTAAAGGACACAAACTACATACCATTTGTGCCAATAGTGTTTAATTATAAAGTTCAACTTTAAGTTATAGTTTATTTGATAAACTTTGATAAATTGATATATAATTTAGAAGATGGAATAAATTGGTATTAAAAAAAATGAAAGAAGAACAACTAGTCTATAAGCGTGTGTTCGTTTTTCTGGCAATGGCAGTATCGATATAGTTACCATGCTTAATTTGATTAATACAATGTGGTCCTGGTCCAAGGAATTTCTTGGAATGAAATTTGAATTAAGCTCTTATCAATTAGAATTTCGAATGATTTGATTATATATATATATATATATATATATATATATGACTTGTAGAAATTGGAAATATTATATTTATTTTCATCTTTGTATGATTATGATTCCTCATATTTAATGCTTTATATTTATTTTTACCTTTGTATTATTATGATTTTCATATTTAATGCTTTGACACTATAAAACGACGTAATTTTATATGACTGCAGCAATGTTTTGGTGCGGTCAGTATATATCCGACAAATTATATATATATATATATATATATATATATATATATATATATATAGAGGTAGGATCTTTTGACACCAGTGTCAAATTTGAAGTTTAACACTTCACCTGAGAGTCGTTAGATCAAAAAAGATCAATGGTGTCGCATGCATACAAATCAGAGTCGTTGATTTTTTTTTTTATCTCACGGCTCTCAGGTGAGGTGTCAAACTTCAAATTTGACACTGGTGTCAAAGGATCCTACTTCTATATATATATATATATATACATATATATATATATATATATATATATAATTTTTCAAATCAAACTTATTATTTAATTATTAATTCGCAATAAATGATAACCGTTGATTGACGAAAATCAACGGTTAAGATGTGGTCGTAACATTGTGCGTAACATTATTTGTGTGTCACAATATCCTATCGCATATATATATATATATATATATATAAATGGGGCAGGATCCTTTGACACCAGTGTCAAATTTTGAATTTTAACACCAAATCCTAACCGTTGATTTTCGTTAATCAACGATTATCATTTATGAGAATTAATAGTAATTAATAAGTTTGGTTCCCAATAAATGATAATCATTGATTGGCGAAAATCAACGGTTAGGATTTGGTATCAAATTTTAAAATTTGACACTGATGTCAAAGGATCTTATCCCTATATGGGGCAGGATCCTTTGACACCAGTGTCATTTTGAAATTTGACACTAAATCCTAACCGTTGATTTTCGCCAATCAACGGTTATCATTTATGAGAATTAATAGTAATTAATAAGTTTGGTTCCCAATAAATGATAATCATTGATTGGCGGAAATCAACGGGTTAGGATTTGGTGTCAAATTTCAAAATTTGACACTGATGTCAAAGGATTTTATCCCTATATGGGGCAGGGTCCTTTGACACCAGTGTCAAATTTTGAAATTTGACATCAAATCTTAACCGTTGATTTTCGTCAATCAACGGTTATCATTTATGAGAATTAATAGTAATTAATAAGTTTGGTTCCCAATAAATGATAATCATTGATTGGCGGAAATCAACGGTTAGGATTTAGTGTCAAATTTCAAAATTTGACACTGATGTCAAAGGATCTTATCCTTATATGGGGCAGGATCCTTTGACACGAGTGTCAAATTTTAGATCAGATACTAAATATAAGTGAATTGTCTATAATTGAGTGTTGATTTTCTTGCCATGGCGGCATTGATATAGTTATTGTGATTAATTTGATTAATACATCGTAGTCAGAGGAATTTCCTTGATTGAAATTTGAATTAACCTCTTTCCAAATACAAGGTGGCAATCAATTAAAAATTGAAACTATTTGATTTTATTCCAAAAATGTGACAATACACTATCTCATCAACTGGAGCGGGCCTTTGGATCTAAATTAATTCAGACATTTAGTCTCTATATATTTGGAACCCTTCAACAACGCAAATATACATATATCTCTCTTACTGGTTCTCAATATTTTATCTAACCCTCTTTGTCGCAGAGAAAACAGATGATGGCTTTGACAATGGAGGTTTTGAGCTTCAGAAAAATGATGATGATCATTGTCATGATCATGATGATTGGAAACATGGCACAATCTGAGCTTCACCATGTTGGAGGGAACAAGATTAGTTGGTCACCCAAAGTTAACTTGTCAGAATGGTCAAGTCATGAGAACTTTCACGTGGACGACTGGCTATGTAATCTTTCTTCTCTTATTTTTTATTACTTTAACACTAGTTCTAATGGATTCATATGATGAAAATGAACGGGTACATAGTCATGTATGTATTATTATTTTTTATCTTTTTTATATAATGGTAACACAAAGGGTTGAACTTATAATCATGTATATTCTATTTTTTAAACCTAACATAGTGACTTTCTTTATGCTCTCTCTTTTTTACTTAACTTTGTTTGTTTATAACTTATTTTCTCCTCTACTCCACTAGTACACTAATGATGTAGTTATGTTTTAAAAGAGAAATTTAAATAATTAAATATTAATAAATTTAATTATAGGTTTTGATTTTTGCCTTGTAATATAAATCATCTCAGAGATGAGATTATTTTCTGTACACCCTGTGTACGTGCGACTTCCACTAAAAAATTGACACTTGAATTAAGAAATTATTTTTCTCTCCCTATCGTGCGCACATTACAAAAAATGCCTCATTTTGATTGGCCCGTCGCATCAAGTTGGTGGTGTGACGGGTATAATGAAATGCATATTTTAGGAGAATTGTTTTCATATATTAAATTTTAAAGGAAAAAAATTTCACTCTTTTCTAAAGACTACCTTACAACTCCCTCCATCCCTTTCTACATAAATCAAATGCATAGCATAATAAATAAATTATTATTTATATATTGCTTTCTTTGTTTTGACTCAAATGGATAAGTCAATGTCATTATGTTGATTCATGTAGTTGAATATGCATAGATTCAAAACCAATAATCTAACAATTCAAGATATATTTCCTCATCACATTTTAATTTTTAGTTAAAATAATCTCAAATAGATGCACAACAACTCACAATTCACAAATAATATACAATGATTAAGTTTTATGTACATCTCCCTCAATTTTGGTTTCTTAATACAAGTAAAGCTTTTTGGGTGAGAAATGGACAATTTTAAAAGGCACAAATTACTGTAGATTAATTTACTTTCTCTTCGTACTATGATTTACTGATGTTTTATTTTTTTTGCCTGCCAGACTTTGGATATGATAGGTACATGTACAATGTGCTGGAGGTGAACGAGACTAGCTACAAAAACTGCATGGAGACAAATTTCATTAAGAATGTAACTGGGGGCGCAGGAAGGGACGTGTTTCACCTGCAAGAGGCCAAGACCTATTACTTCTTAAGTAGAGGAGGTTTCTGTTTGAAGGGAATGAAAGTTGCCATAAATGTTACTGAAAATATTGCAGCCACTCAACCACCTGTTCCACCAAAAAATAATGCTTCAGATGCTCGTGGCATTCAGGTACTTGTGTTGTTCATCTCATTCCTGATGTGGGGCATCCTCTGCAAATAACATCATCAGCTACTACAAATGGCAGACCACAAGTAGATTTACTATAGCATCAGCTGCAATTGTTATGTTTGTTTTTAGTCATTGTGTCATGGGAGGCTGAACTAGGAAAATTCAATGTTTCTTTTTTTCTTTTTCTTTTTTCTTTTTTCGGCATACATTCAAGGATTCTTTTAACTTTATTATTATGTTGTTCACGCTTACTCTTCTTGGTTGCTTCGAATGCCAACCAGTATTATTTGTGAAACGGTTTGAGTTTAAGTTCCATGAATTAATTTTAATGTTTTTTTAGCAAATCATCAATTTTGTATCATGTGCAATTACCAAAGTGGGAAGAAACTAAAGCGAAATCTTACTCGTTATTACAGTAAACTATTCCTCTGAAATCATAAGTGTTAGTACGGCACAAAATGCCAAAAATTATCATGGAGAATATCTCTTATGCCATTTGATCTGGAGTTCTAAGAAATGAAGTGAGCTTTTGTGAAACATGACCAAAACTCAAACACCAAACAATCATGCATGAGTAAATTGCATAAGAATCAGAAAGATAGCCAGAAACTTTTTGTGCCTTTTGTTTTTCTTTTTCGTCCGGGGTGGGAGATCACAAGTTCAACCTCCAGTGGCTATGAGTCTCCATTTCAACACAAAATCACAAACAGATTACCGGTATGTCTAAGTTCTCCTTTTAAAGGAATTCATAATTAACAGTCAAGAATTGATAATCGCTTCTACTGCTCCTTATACTGCCCCTGTTCTACAGTCAGGGTTGGTAGCATAGCCACAGCCTCACCTTCAATGACAAGCAACTCACCATTCTTAAAGCACCTTGTCTTAAACTTTGCACTGAATAACATTGACAATGACAACACTAGTTAGAAACAAAATTACTACTTGTTCAAAAAAATGAACAACAGTAATGTTAAGACCTAACTTACAGATATCGATTTTTATTTTCTCTCAGATTAGTTGCTTGTACTTCACCAATTATCTCATCTCCAATATAGACGGGGAACTTAAAATTCAAGCTTTGAGATACATACACAGCTCCAGGCTACAATTATCCATAATATTAGAAAAGTGAATGTTGCTAGGGGAAGAAAAGGAAGAAACTTTAGGAAAGTTGTCATCAAGGAAACAGGGTGAAGGACCTCCTGTGTTATTGCCTCAATTCGCAGTATCATTCAAGCACTTCGGGAATGATGTCTCTAACTCAAGTTGACTAAATCTAGTGAGTAGTAACTTGGTTTATGAAATCATATAAATAGAATTGACAAAACATAAGTCTTTAATCCATGGGTTCATATTTTCACGCCTTTCATAAAAATAGTAATAATTATGCTTATTTACATGTATCGTACGCTTTCTACTCCTCATGACACATTTTAATCTATGCAACTAGTGGAAAGCCGCATGCCACTATTTGGCGTCTCACAAAATTTTCAAATGACAACGTTATATGAAATTTTAAGTCCAATTTCATGCCATAATTTTCCATTAACCGGTGTCTAATATTCAAGTCGACTGAAACAGTATTTTATAGGGCAGGGGGATTTTGGATCCTGGAATCAACTTTGGGTTCCCCAAAGCTGTTGCAAGTGGAGAAATTTCACTTGCATAAAGCCCAAACAAAGTGACCTTTTTCCTAAATATTTTACATGTAAAAATGTATATCATGTGAAAATGTATCAAACATGATCTGTAAAAACGAAGTCTCCAATTTTATTTCTATTCTTGTTAGCTATTAATATTAGAGGGTGCCTGTGGAAAAAGTAGTGTATGATATAGCTCACAATCACAAAAGTTATAATCCACAAATGTGTGTGTGTGTGTTTTTTTTGTTTGTAAGATCACAAGGTCTCCTCAGACCAGACCCTTCAGGTGTGGGACTACATCTATATTCGCAATACTAGGTGAGTATACTCGTTTACAAAAAGTAGGAAAAAATGGGACTTAAATGACATTAATCATAAAAGAGTAGGCTGAATAAATATACTGTAGTTAAATTTCTCTAACTTCAACTAATGTACCCTTCGGTACTATGGGAGTTTCCTAGCAAATTCATATCATGTCTTGATTAATCTGTTTATTCACTCTAATCTTGTTTATTTATGAGATGGCTGAGTATCTCATTTCCATAGCCGAGATATCAGAATTTAAAGAGAGGTTTAGTATGGGACTTACAAAATGTGATGAGATTATATGAGGAATGAGAGAAGCAACGAGCATCCCATGTACCAGTGGACCTTCAAATCCAACATTTCGGGCAGCAGCAGAATCAGTATGCAAAGGGTTAGAATCATGACTAACCTTGGAGTACTGAAGGACATCTTCCTCGGTAAAAAGTCTTTCTTTTCTCAATACATCCCCAGGCTTAAGTACAAAAGGAGCTGCAGATGAGAAGCACCTGAGACTCAGAGACTGGAGTTTGCAAGAATGTAAACTCCTGAAGAGCATTCTTCCAAGGGTTCAATTCAACAAAACAAAGCCCTGATGTTGTCCCTTACTAACTGAAAAGAAGCAGAGTGCAGCTTAATATTCCCACAACTGAAGACCACCTAAAATTTTTAAAATAAAATTATGATAAAAAAAAAATGCCCATCAACTTGTTGTAAATAAAGCCAACCATTTTTCGTTTGTTCGATGTAGCAGCAAAAGTTTTAAACTTTAAAGACACAGGCAGGCAGGTACGACTACGAGAGTAAGATGATATTGTAAAACGGAGTATGCATCATTACTCCAAAATGACGAGGGCGGGGGGGGAGATTGGAATTAAAAAAAAAAATCCTTTTGGATTATTGTTTGCAACATTTTAACAAACAGCTTAGATGCATGCCAATAGCTGAAGACATATCATGACAATTCAATGCAAAATGAATCGAATTCCATTATTAGGAAACGTAAAAATTGAAATAGATGGTCGTTATTCCTTTCTTACTAGAATTTGGATCTCAGTGGCAAATGTTTCACCCGCAGAAAGAGAAGAAACAATTGTAGAAGCTATAAACTAGAGAACCAGCGGTAACATAGAAGACCCAGTACTATTAATAACGGACCTTTTCTAGAGGGATTGGGGTTTGTTCATCACAATTATGTATGTTAAGCCGTTTTACTGGGTTTGTCTTAAAAGGCATTTTACTTTGATCTGCTAATAATTATATTTTATAAAAGAAAAACTTCAATTATATCATTATTAATAAAATGAGTTCCCATTAAAATAAAATAAAAAATAGCTTTAGAGTTTTCACAAACTTAAATTATTTCGTACAACTGTATTTAAATGGAAAAATAACTTCAGGCCAAGTTCAATGTATATTGATCTTCATGAGACAAACCAAGGCCTACTTTATTTCTTTAAAAGAAGAAGTAATAGGAGCTGTATGGCTTTGGTGGGAGTGACGATGGTGGTAATGAAGTAACCAAAGAAAAGCAGAAAGTTATACAATACTCAATCTTGTTTGCTTAAACCTCCCTTACCTATTGCAATTCGGTATCACAAAATTTAGTAAAAGTTGAAAATTCTTTTGGTTATCAAATTTAAAACCCATAATATAAATATCTCAAAGTACATGCCACACCTAAATTTGTAAGAAGAGGTAATTCAACAACATTGCAGGTCCAGGTATCAGTTCATCATGAAACCCACAATACTTTTACTTATACTCTCACAACCCAGTATGTACAAAGCACTCATTTTTATTTTTATTTTTTTGTTATGACTAGGACGGGGAAGGCCAATTTCTGACCCAATCTGTCAGAGTTGCAACATTTCTATTAATGTCTTCAATAGTATCACTCTTCAATGCAACCACTCTGTCCTCCGGGTAACTTTCTTTAGCCTCCTCAAGCAGAACTTGAAAGATTTCACATTCAATATTGTTGGAAAGCTTTGAATCATTGTACCCCCTGTCACAGAGAGAAAGTTTATGATGAAACCGATGATAGAATTGCAAAACCAAAACTCAACAATAGAAACGAGTGCTTCCATACCTCCTGCTCAAACGGTCATACAAAATGGTGTTATCAGTTTGAAGCACAACCACACAATCAAACCATCGCTCAGGAAAGAAATCGCAGCCATGATAGTCCACAATGTTCCCCCCCTCTTCCATAACATCCTCAAGTTCATCACAGACCTACAAGAACCATACAAGATACCCTCGTAAAACCCATATACCGGGCAACATACACATGATGACAACATATGTATCAGCAGTGAGCATAACATCGAAATTGCTTCATGTAATTCAACAACACAACAGATCCTAGAGCGGTTCAACATCAAACTAAAAAATCTTAACACATAATTGGAAAACAAGTAGGTTATTAATACTAAATCAAAAAGGGACTTACATTTTCTTGTGCAACTAAAAACCCTCAGAAAATACAATTAGATTTACATATCCAAAAGTATTAACAGACAAATCATCAGAAGAATAATCAGTTTCAATGAGGGGAAGGGACAAGGACGAATGCAAAAGTATTAGACATTTAGACATCAGAAAAATAAGAATAAATGACATGGACATGTTGGCCAGGGGACATGGTATGTTCAGTGCAGGTCCTGAAAGCTACTTTCACCAATGAGCTATGTATTAGAGTGTAAACCTTTCCCATTCCCTTCAACCCAATCTTGTGATTAGTAATCTCCAAGAGATATATTAGAAATTGATCCAGGAATATTACAAATATTAAGTAGCATGCATCTTTAACACCAATGAAAGGAACCATGATATAGTCTCCAATTTCATGCACATTATATCTACCACCTCAACTTCAATAATAATCAACATCCTTTAGTTTATATTCTATATTGAATCTATCGACCTAATATATACACATTGTCAAAACAAAATTAATTAATAAGAACTCCATCAAAATCCATATGATATGCCGCTCTACGACAGACTCCATCCAACCTTACTAACAATTTGATCTTAATTGTTATGCACCTATGGCTATAGCCAAAAAAACAAAAAAGCATTTGAGAACGATATTATTAAGTATAAAAATTGGTTACATACCAAGTCTTCATTAAGAACATAACAATCAAGCTCATCATCCCAGCCATCATGCAAGTTCTTCTCTTTGACCAATTCCCCAACATTGATGTGGCGGAGCTGTGTGGCTTCTGCTAAAGCCATAGACATGGTTGTCTTTCCTGTCCCTGGTGTCCCAGTCACCAGAATGTTTGGTCTCTTCCTCTTGCCACTTTCTTCCACCATCACTACAACCTGCAATAGCAAACACACACTTTCAATTCAAGTTAGCCAACATTAATAATAAATTAAACACTATTAATCATAGAATAATTCACGGTAAGAGAGATGTACGAACAAATCTTTAAACACTATTAACCATTTACAGAACCAACAAATTACTTTTTCATGCTAAGATCCTAATAACATGTAAGAAAAAACATTCAAAAAGAAATAAATAAATAAAATATCCTTCCTTGTAACCGCTTTTCACTAACTCTATTCTTTCTGGATTGATCTTGCTTCCACGTGCAGTACAAGTCGTGTTCTCCCACACCGTCGACTCACGAGAACGGTGGCGATGCGGTGTTGTGTCAGAAGGGGAAGGAAGTGAGTGGTAAATGGGCCGAGAAGAAATAAACAAACCCTAACCCAAACCCCTTGAAAACTCAAAGGCCCAAGTCCATCAAGATGCACCTCTATCTAAAAGAACTTAACGGGTTAACCCGTCTCGGTGAGTGATCAATTAATCATAATTGGTTAAAAAATAATCGAGGTCATAAATAATCATAAAGAAGTTTGGTTATCATAATCATAGCTTAAAAATTTTAAACTTTTTAGTCATGTGATATGACATTGTTGGATGATAATATAGAATACATAAACTAACAATAAATTAATTTTTAAATCATATTCATATAAACTGTACTTAATTATAACATAATTATTTCATAATATATACTCTGTTTACCAAGAATAATTCATGATAACTATGCTTCTTGGACGAAAATAATTCATAAAAAATTGTTAGGAGATAATATTAATCATTTAACCTCGCATGGATGTTCAAGACTAAAACTATCTAAATTATCTAAATGTCATACATCCGATTAAAAAGAGTTACATGACTTTATATATAAATAATAACTAGGATTTTCTCATCTTGCTCTCACAAAAAGCCACTCTTCTTCCCTTACACACACACAAGTGTGTCTATATATATATATATATATATATATATATATATATATAAAATTGTTAGGTCCTGGATAGACCGTACTGCTATACCGTATAGTATGCGTTTAGAGATAGTGTATATCAGATGTATACTAGGCTTATAGTCGAGGTCTCAATCACTGCGCACAAGCAATAGGCTTATAGCCAAGGGGGTGGGTGTGTGCACAGTGCGGGTAGTATTCGTAAATAGGTCAAAAGTGTGTACCTGGGGTTCTTAAGCTCTTATTTATAAGGATTACCTTCCTAGGCTTGGGCCTTTTGAGCTCCCCAGATTGCATTAGGGTTCAGCTCCCTTTATGTTGGGATGTGATCCTTATCTTGTGCCATTTGACTGTTTAATGTTGTTGAGATATTCATGAATCTACCTCTTAGTAGATTCTTAGGTGAGTAGTTGGGATATGATATTCATATCCATAACAGTTGCCCCCCAACTCGGTATTCCGAGGCTTGGAATGCCGAGGTGTTTGCTATGTCATCTCGAATTTGATTCACCCGAGTTCACTCATTTCGGTATTGCACCTTCGAAAGTTCGGGTCCACCACATTACTTGGAATCACTTTTGCTGAGGTCGTTCGCGTGATGCTTTTTGATCTTCCTTGGTATTGTATGTTGAAATCGGTTTTTAACATGTCGGATTCGCCACGAGTCTGTCTTATGCCTTCAGGCATTATTTGTTCCGAGTTTCGCCTTAGTTATGTCAGGCCGAATTGAAGTTCTTGGTCATGTTACGACTTTCGGCTGCGACCTCGTGGCCAAGCTCATTTTTTGACCTGCGCCATTAAGGCGAGTTTGGAGCTCGGAGCGTGAAGTTTGATCTTATCGTATCATCTTAACCTTTTGTTTCAGGCCCTGCTGAGACGGTTACCACGATCCACGTGTTCCGCATCTGTTGGCAGTTTGTGCATCGTGCAGGGCGCGCCGTCCTGACTGTGTGCAGGTCATGATTGTGCTTATTAAATGTGTGCAGGGGTGATTTTACCATTTGGCCCTTAACTGCTCAACCGTTTGGGGTCTTTTCATCTTCGCGCCTTTGGCTCGTTTCCCTTTAAATACCATTTTTCAAAATGGTATAGGAGTTTTCTCCTGGCATTGTTTTCATCAAGTGTTTTCCTCTCTTTGCTGTTCTTGGAGGTTCTCATTGAGTTCGCGTATTCTCTAGCTATTTCTATGTTGCTTCATTCACCTTTTATTCAGGTACTCCTTTCTTCCCTTCTTGTTTTTGCTCAACTTTGGCTTAGTTATCGCTTGTATTTTATTTTGGTTTGAGCTGAGATTTGGAGAGTGGAGGGAGGAGTCAGTTGTTTCCTTCGAGTCTTCGTTCGAGAGTTTTGAGGGAGTTTGCCTGTAATTTGGGGACTTGACTATGGGTACTCCCAGCCCTTCTTCGGGTCCGGCATCTGGCAGAGGTGGTGAGGATGACGAAGAAATATTGAAACGACTGCCTCGATCTGTGCAGTATTGGTTTTATGGGAGAGAGTACACCGAGGAGGAGAAGCTTCAACAGCTTCTCTGCGGTCATCGAGGAGGTCGCCAGAGTTCCCCAGGTGGACGCAGTAGAAGAGGTCGGATAGAAGGGGGTCATCAGCCTCAGCTTAACTTCGGCATTAGTGGTCCTTCTCTAGCCTCGAATCCTTCGACGGGTGGGTTGAACGTTTATGCTGACCCGATTCCTTTATCCTACATTCTACCGTCATCTCAGGTCGCCCATGGTCCGAGGTTCGTTTTAGGTCGGATTCCTCCCCTTCAGCTGGATGATAGTTCTTCCAGCCTTTCTTCATCTGAGTTGGGTTTTCCAGAGTCGCATACCCCTTCTGTTTTTGGCGATTCGGCTTTAAGTCGCATGCCATTTCTCGATCTAGTCAGTAGTTCTTATAGCTCCATTCCGTTTTCATGGAGTCCGCGCTCGTTGCCATCCGAGATCGGATTTGGCTGATTTTTATACTGATCCTCATCCTTCGTGTTCCACGACCATAGCTATGGAAGCTTTTGACGTCCAAAATTGGGTTCTTCTTGAGATTCTTCACATGCGATCTACAATGTCTCCTGACGACGTAGCCCAACTTTCAGTTGGAGACCCTAGTGGGGTGGATATGCTCCCAGCAGGTGATCATCCGGTGTGTGCGGGTCCTATCTTGGAGGAGCCCCATTTCTTTTACTTTTACTGGGATCTGATTACCAAGTTAGGGATTCAGTTTCCCTTCACCGAGTTCCAGATGACCGTGATTCGTAGACTTCGGATTGCACCTTCGCAACTGCATCCCAACTCCTGGGCTTTCATCTGGGGTTTCGAGCAAAAGTGTGCATACCTCTGTCTTCCTTGTACAGTTTGCATTTTTTTCTATTTCTTTGATGTATATACAGCTCAGACCGGGGCCGAGGCGAAGGAAAGGAAAGGTTGGGTTACCCTTCGAGGTGCTCCGAATCGGGGTATTTTTTTCCCTATTCCCAATCTTTCAAAGGTTTTAAGGAATCCTACTTCAGGGTAGTGGCTCGGTCTGACTGCCTCCCCTGGTTTGCCTCGTCTTGGTTAGACGGAGGGGATTTGGCAGGTCGGTTTGAGCTTTATTGGACGTAAAAATTTTATCAGCGGCGTCCTAAAGACTACGCTACTCCAGGAGTAGCTCTTTCCGATTTGGAGAGGCTGGCAGCGTCCGTCTTGATTGGTTACGCCCGCGAGTACGGCATTGTCGATTTGGGTCGGATTGTAAATAACTTTGGAGAGGATCTCCTTTGTGAACTTGGTATGTGATTCTCCTTTATGACCTATTTCCGACATATCTCATGATTTGGATTCTAATCTTAGACTTTTTTTTGCTGTTAGCATGACAAGTACTGAATATAAAAAAAATTTGCCCAAGAAGTCAGGAAGAGGGAAGGCCAAAGAAGTCTCCACTGCTGATACCGAGGTCCCGAAGAAGTGGCGGGTTGTTGCCATGCTTGGCAGAAGTTCGGCGGGCGGTGAGGTGATTATAACTGACGTTTCTTCTCCTTCCTCCTCGCCGCTTCCTCCTCCTTCCACCGCTCCTCAAGGGACCCTGATTACTCTAGAGCCTGGGGAGTTGTGGAGGGTCGGGGTTTCTGACCGGCTTAGGGCCGCCCTGAAGCCTCCTCCGGAGCTCATTGGTGGCTCGGGCTTGACTTCTACTGTGAGGGCCCTGCTAGTGCGGTTGGAGGAGGACTCATTGAAGGCCACCTCTTTACTTCAAACCTTCCAGGATCTCAATCAGAGGCTCGACTTGTCTGTGGATTCAAACTCGTCCCTCACTATTGAGGTAGGGGAGCTGAGCAAATCTAAGTCCGATCTGGAGATCAAGGTTCACGAGTTGTCCTTCGAGCTAGACAAGGCTAAGAAGGATTTGGAGTCGGCTACTGCCAAAGCGGATGGATTGAGTGCTGAGAAGGAGGTTCTCTCAAAATCTATGGCCGACAAGGATGCCCAAATTTAGAGGCTTGAAGCCGACTTTGAGGAGGCTAAAGCCGTGGTCGTAAATGCTGCCACCCAAGCCTTTGACAATGCTGTTGCACAAGCCCGGGTTCTGAACCCTAGCCTCATTACTGATGGCATGGATGTGGCATATGATGTAAAGGATGACGCTATTGTTCCTGGGACTCCGGATTCTGAATATGCTGATGAAGAGGAAATCGGAGCCGAGGTTCATGTCGCTAACACTCCTCGTGCTATGGAATGAAGGGGTCAGAATGCCGACTTTTATTTTGTACTTTTGTTATGGGGCCTTTGAGCCCCTTTTTTATTTTATCTGGACATATTTGCCGCTTTAGGTCGGCTTTACCACTTTGTGCACTGGTATTATTTTTCCGAGATCGTTGTTTTGCTAAACCTTTACTTATATGTTCGAGGTTCGCTTTCGATCTCGTATCATTCGACTTGCGATTGGCCGAGGTTTCATTTAATCGATCTAGGATTATGTTTTGTTCGTCAACAAAATTTTCATTCCTTTGTTTGATCGTGAAGCGCTTATGGCTTCAATTACTTGACTAGAAATCGATACGCATTGATAACACAATTGAGGTCACTGCTCATTTTATTTGCATTTCAAAAGAAATTTGTTTACAAGGCCGAGCTTAAGAGCTCGTTTTATTTGCTTCGAAATAAATCTACCTACTGACTGAGCTTAAGAGCTCGTCTTATTTTCGTAGAAATAAAGCTATCTATTAACCGAGCTTAAGAGCTCGTCTTCATCACGAAAGTCGGACTTGTCGCCTAACTATAGTAGACCTTTAGCTTGTCCGTGTTCCAAGTTCTCTTTACTGGCTTCTTGGAGATAGTTTCTAAGGAATAAGCTCTTTTTCCCAAATTTTCCTTGATTTTGTAGGGGCCTTCCCAGTTTGCGGCGAGCTTTCCATCTCTGGCATTCTCGT